CTCAGCATGTAAGTGGATTTAAAAAACTCATGTCATGTAAAAACCAAGCGAGCCTACCGTTTAATGTTATACTTCACTCTACCTACTAGCAAGCTTTTATGGGCCAGCAGGCTGGGCTGCATGGTGTCTGGGGCTTCCTCCCACAGTTCGAAGCCACAGTGAAGCCAGGGCTCTCCAGTTGGTGTCCTGGGGATGGAAGCTTCAGTGGGCTGTCCTCTAGGACAACTGTGTGATGAGACAAGTCTGTCCTTGTCCCATGGGGAGAGGCAGTGGGGGCGGAGAGTGAAAACCTCTGCGGCCATTGGGACTGCGGGGGGGTGTGCTCTCTGTCACTGCAGGATTCCTTCCCAGCCCGGTTCAAAGCCATCCACTTCATCCACCAGCCGTGGTACTTCACGACGACCTACAATGTGGTCAAGCCCTTCTTGAAGAGCAAGCTGCTCCAGAGGGTGAGTGCATGGCCACGCAGGGAAGACGGTGCTCAGTGATCCGCTGGGCACTGAGTGAGTGAGTGAGTGAATTGAGCGAATGGGGCTGTAGCAGGAAAGGGTTCATGAGACAAGAGGGATGAAGGTGGGGTACCCCATCTGAGCCCTTCTCAGACTCTTACCATAGTTCTGAACTGAGTGGATCTCACAGACAGCACAGTAGGGAGGGCTGTGGAGAAGGACGCCGCCAGGCAGAGATGGCACGCTGTGTCTTTGTCCTCTGGTCCGTCTCCTCCCGTCCATCCTTCATCCTTAGGGCGCCCCCTGCTCAGCTCCGCCTCCCCTGCTTTCCTGCAGGTCTTTGTCCATGGAGATGACCTCTCCAGCTTCTTCCAGGAGATCGACAAGGACATCCTGCCCACCGACTTTGGGGGCACCCTGCCCAAGTATGACGGCAAGGTCCTGGCCGAGCAGCTCTTTGGCCCCCGGACCCAAGCTGAGAACACCGCCTTCTGAGGATACCTCCTGCCATCTGACCCACAGTTAGTTAGCATCCTTGGGCCTCTCTTCAGCTGTCCTGGACCCAGGAGGCTGGGAAAAAGGCTGCCTGGGGTGACTGTGGTTCCCTTGAACCTCCCTAAGCTTGGGTGAGCTCAGGTGTTGACCCTCCTCCCAAGTTTGGGGGCAATAAAGCAGGGAGAATTCCCCTGAACAAGAAGAATTGGGGGGCAGTTATATTCCTACTGCCTCTGAAGCTTTAGCACAGTGACTTGTGTGAAGTTGTTTCAAAGACTGATGAAGCTTCTCAGTGACTTCCTTCCTAAGAGTTTTAGGGTCTGTGAAAACGGGCAAGGAGGCTTGTTTAAAAGTCTCCGCACCTCCCCTCTGCCCCCCCCCCAATAAAAGAAGAGGGGATCTGGCAAGCATAGTAACCTTGGCAGCCGGTAGGCCGGTGAGGGGTTTTTCCACATGGAATTCCGGGGTGGAGGCAGGTCTGAAGCAGCTCCACTTTGGGGTGGCCTGGCCCCCTCAGTCAGGGGCAGTGGCCTCCTCAGTGAGGGGCCGTCTGATGTGTGCAGTGATGGACCTTGACCTCCTTCCAGGGTGGCAGTTGCGCCCCCTCCTTCTGTCTGTGGGGCCTCCCCACCAAAAGCTCTCTGCCCCAGGCCCCTCGCCTCAGCGGAAGTTTTACAGGTGGCATTTCCTCTGAGCACTCCCTCGAGCCTCAAGGCGAAAGCCCTTCTCAGTGTTCAGTCTCGGGCACTTCACAGGGACGAACATCCATTCTCCAGCTCTGCGCATTTTGACAAATACAAATGCTTTTCCTTGTGCGGAGTTGGTATTCCTCACGTGTTTGGTGATTTTTGAGTGTGTGCTCATTTTTGTCTCTTAGACCTCCGGTTCGAGGCCACTGTTTGCGGAGCACACTGCTCTTGGGGGAGGGAGGGCTGGCTTCTTCCGGGCACGGGGCTGACAGGCACTGACAGGTCTCTCGGGATCTTCCTCTGGCAGACATTGGTTCTGTTGTCTGGCTAGCGGTGCTAGGTAGGGGTCAACTGGCTTGGCCACTCCTACTGAGGTACCCAAGACCTCTCTGCTCTTGCCTGGGGAGTCGCCCCACTTTTTGTGGGCATGAAGCACCCTTTTGTGCTACATCTACCTTTTGGAACAGGATCTTTAGCTGATTCCTGGGCTGTGGGTTCCATCCAATGCCTTCTGCTTTTACTTTTTCAGGAATTTCTCTGATCCACTGAGTTCTCTTTCTTGTTTTCCAGCATGGCTATGTATCTGTACACATATATGCGAATGGACGTGTACCTGCATGTATTTCTTACATTCTTTCTTTTGTTTCTAGGTTAGCAGTGTACGCTCATCACCCAAGTAACCTCCCTCTTTATAACATTCATAGTCAACAATCCATGATCATAAATGATATTTACATAGGACTTCAGATCTGGAGGAGGAATCACAGCAAATTTTTGCGGGTGGCTGACCAGTGAGTCTTTCTTCTAAATCATTCTTCAAACCCTTTAAAAGTTGAGGCTCTACTTTTTCAAATCAGATCTTACATGGAACTGTGCTGGTTGAAGAAGGCTCAGCGGCCTCATTGAGAGGGATCTCCCAGAACATCTGGAGCTAAGAAGGCCTGGCTTTGACGAGAAGGCCCAGGGGCTTTCTGAGGCAGAAGCTAGAAGATTGGGACCCGGGGAGTCTACTCTGACTGTGAGCTGGCACCGCCCTCTGCTGGCCTTTCTCTGGTACTGCCCCTCCATGCTCAGAGTCAAGGGGGGCAGGAGAGAGAGGTGGGCAGGCTGGGCCAGACTTTGCCCAGGAAGGTGGTGCCACCTTCGGGAGACTGTGTCCCAAGACCATGGATGTGAATGTTAAAATCCGACGTACTTAGCCTCACAAAGTCCCAGCTGCCTACCTGCCGGATTCTTACGAGTGGCCACCACCGCCACATCGATGCGAGGAAGAGGGACAATAAAACATTCTTTTGAAAGCCACCGAATACGGGAAGGGGGACAACAGAGTTTAACTTCAATGACAACCATTTGCTGCCCAGAACAGCCTCCTTTCCAAAGACATCCGGGGTGAGGCAGGGATTCTGCCACGTCAAAGTAATGTGAACACAGCGAGAATTGGGAAGTCATAGTGACGAATTCCTGCCGGCCTCACATGGACCTTCGGGGAATATTTTCTGTTAGCAGATGGAGGCAATTTGTTCAGGGGTGGGTGGAGGTCTCAGGAGGGAAAGGGGCCACCAGCTTCAGAGGGCCTCTGAATGAGACTGGCCGCTGCTCAGGGCCTCAAGTTCACCTAAGGGACGCTGGAGGGTGGCCCGGACAAGTCTTTGTGGTGTGCCCAGGTCTAGCTAGCCAG